TGAGCCTCCTTCTGCCTTCTGCACCATGCTTGCCGTTCGGCAAGTGGCCTAGGATTCGTTTTGATGATCTTTGTTTGTTGGTAGTCCTTCGGTGTGGGCTGTTTTGGAAGAGGCCTAGGCCACATCTCAAAGGGGAGCTGCTGGGCCTTCGGTGCGATCAGTTTGGGGAGCACTTTTGTGGGCCTGTGCAGCTGGTGCGAAATACTTGATCACTTGAAATTGGAGCTGGGCCATTTGAAACTTGGTGAAAATTTTCCGGAGAAGGTGGGGCGTGGTTGCCATTCGGTGTCCTTGGGTGCCCTGAGAAATTTTCCAAGTGTCCTTGGTGCGCCCTTGAATGTCGTTGAATTTGAAGCTGCTTCCCATTAGGTGTTTTGATAAGTTTAGTGGCTGGGTGCCGTATGGCTCGGCCATCTAAATTGCTCCAGACTTTCAGCTAATTGTCACATGGGCTTCCCATTGGATTGAAATGGTGGCTTGGCCCTAGCCATGCAAGCCAAGCAAAGTGATACTCTAGTTAAATTGGGTACCTGGGCAGCTATTATTCATATGCAATATCCATGAATCATATTGCTGAATAGGATTGTGCAAATATTACATGCTTGTATACAATATTTATATGTAAGAAGATAAATCTTATCTTGTGGTGAGGATGTGCGTGGGCATCGCTCATATCAAAAAGGTTTGCCAAAGACATCGCATGCGCCATATGATGATGAGGTCCCGAAGGCCCTCCGGTGCTCAATGATGACAGGGTGCCGAAGGCATCGCTCGCGTCAAATGATGATGACGGGGTGCTGAAGGCATCGCTCGCACCGGTTGATGGCGGGGTGTCGAAGTCATCGCTCGCGCCAAATGATGACGAGGTGCCGAAGGCATCGCTCGCGCCGAATGATGACGAGGTGACAAAGGCATCACTCGCGTCGAATGATGATGACGGGGTGCCGAAGGCATCGCTAGCACCAGTTGATGACTGGGTGCCAACGACAGCGCAAGCACCAAATGATGATGAAGTGCCGAGAGGCATTGCTCAAGCTGAATGGGGACGGGGTGTCGAAGGCATCGCTCGCGTCGGATGGCGGAGAGGTGCCGAAGGCAGCGCACGCACCAAATGATGATGAGGTACCGAAGGGCACTGAAGAATGGGAGAACGACAGAAGCCTTTTGTGTCGGTTCCTACAGACGGCGCCAAACTGTTGATGCTCAAAATGGTTAGGCCAAGATTGAGTCCAACTTAGTGATGAAGTGTGATGGATGATGAATGAAGGTGAGGACCTTAAGCATGTGTATAAAGACTTGGGCAAGCGATAAATGTAAAGAAGACAAGATATACGTGGTTCACCCTTAATGAATGGGCTACGTCCACGGAGAAGTATGTTCTCATTATAATAGTGTATGATTACATTTGTACATGGGATTGGACTCGAATATAAAGATAACGAGTGAGATGCCCAGGTCAGGGATCTAGGAGAGAGTCCCCGGCCCTAGGGTCTAGCTCTGAGACCCGGATCCTCTTCTAAGTGGGGAGAGGAAGTCCCCTTTTCACATGGATACTATTCCCTATTTATAGGGAGGTGAAAGTGGGAGGTTTGTGTAGATTTCCGATGTGGGACTTTGCACAAGTCACTGTGGTGGTGACACGTGTCATGGTGTTGATGCTCTTGGTGCTAGTTGCTTTGATGCTGGATACGCTCGGTTGATTATGGTGTAAACAAATGTTTATCTTATTTATGAAATGCTGTTGCACCAAATGGTGATGGTATGTCTTTTGCTTTTCGGGTGCAGGGGGATTAAAGCTATGGGAGGGTTCTATTGATCTAGTTAAAGCTCTTAGCTCTGAAGTTCAAAATGGACATTTATCGTTTACCGTAAACAAGTTTTAGGGGTGGGCATCCTAATATTTTCAGGTGAACGTATACGGTCCCGTAATGCATACACATGTTAACATTCTTCATGTTACTTTGCGTGGTAGCCTAATGTTCAAGTGTAAATAAGTTGACTTATATTCGTAAGTGAAATGAGACATACGCTTCCTTACCTCGAAGTCCTTACAAAGAGAAACTAGTT